TTGTAATTAAATATTTTTTTTAGAGGTACTTTTTAAACTTTTTAAGAACTAGTTCTTTTAACTAGCTATCTAGTTCTTTATTTTCTCAATACGAAGTCTGTGATAGTCATTTTATCTATCCACAATTTATTGTGTAAACTTGACTTTTATCTAAAAAAAAAAAACCAACAGGTCTATTTCTTGCCCTGTTCCTCTCAGTTGAAATTACATTCCGAATTGGGCGGTAGTTTCATAAAAAAGATGGCCTATTAAAAAATGTTTTATTTGTGTATGTATATATGTATTATTAAGTTTATTTGAATAAAAAATATTTATTATTATTATAACTTGATTATTTGTTATTTAGTGTTTTAATTTGTAAGATTTTTGCAATTTCTTAAGTAGCACAAGTTTATTAAAATACACAATACATACATTTAGGTGGGAGAGGGATTGTTAGTAATGGAGACTGAGAATCCCATTGCTAACAACCATGCCAATCAGGGTCGACCCTCCTCGCGGTTCCCCCTGAAATTATCATGGTTAATTCCTGATGAATTCATGATGGGCCTAACTAGTTTTCATTCTCACCTATCACTCTTCACTGGTGCTCCCGCCAGTATGAACCGTTAGCGCAGGCAGGTTACCCATACCATTTTCACCCATAAAATACATACATTTAGACATATAATATTTTTCATAATTATTTATTTAGATTTTTTTTGGTTATAAAACATCTGAATTTTGGGTATTTTTTTCCAGAAAGAAGTGTTACTTGCAAGAGTCGTGCTTTGTAATGGTGCCAAATAAGGATAATTCTCTGGAAGGTATAATTTCAGGTAAGAATGGCAATTTATATATTTTTTGATTTTTTATTTTGTTAGTTCTGTGTTCTTTATAATAAGCGACTACTGCAACAAAACACTACACAAGTGCACAAAATAAGGAAACTTGAGACAAGACCTTATATCGTTCTATCAGGAGAGGTTTGAGTCCTACAGTAAAAAGTTTCCTACAGTTAATTCTATGCTGGGAGCACACGGTATGAAAATCGATATATAGATTATTACCAATAACAATAATTACAGGTAAAAATAAACAACAAAAAGAGAAAAAATCAATACATTTTGTTATATATGCACACCTTCAGCGAGATGTACCTATATAGCGCTGATTTTCAGGCGGCCCCTTACCTCATTCAACTTTAGCATTCATGCAGGTCGCCAATACCCATTTTTCAGTTAGAAGACTTAATACACTGATCAAAAAAAAAAAAAAAAATAAACTCTGAATAGAAGATGATCACAATTGACAATGACATTATCATCTCTCTCTTTATTTAAGAGTTTCCTCTTGTCGGTGCAACTAATTCATGCATCTTCTTCCAGCCAGCTCTATCCCAGGCCATATCCTTGACCTCCCTATACGACATGACACCTAGTGTTTCTTTTATCTGTCCCATGTAGTTACTCCTCGGTCTTCCTTTTTAAGAGCATAGTAGAAGGAAAAATAGAGGGAAAAAAGAGGAAGAGGAAGTCCGAGGACTAACTACATTATCATTATAAAAATAAAAAAAAAGTGAAGCGCCATGTACACATATATGGTGCGTTAAATCTGGTAATGAATGGTGCTCGGCAGCCAGGCGATGGCGCAGTCGGCGCGGCCGGGCGCGTGGGAGGCGCGGCTGGAGGCGCTGGCGGCCGCAGTCAGCTCCCACACGCGCCGCATGCGCCGCACCGGCAGCGCCCAGGTCGACAAGAACGAGGTACGCGCTCTACAGCGTACACCTCTCTCCAACCACTTCCCAGCTTCCAATGTCTTGTTGCAGGGGAAAGGATTGTTAGCAATGGGTTTTGAGCAGCCCCATTGCTAGCAATGTGCCCTAATAGGTCGACCTCCACGTGGTTCCCCCTGGAAACCATCGTGAACAATTCTCGTTGAATTCGTCACGATGGACTAACTGATTGCTGCTTCATCCTCACCTATTGTCCTTCACTGTTGTCCCGCCGGTGTATACCGATAGCGCAGTATGGGGTTACCATTCCATTGTCACCCATTAAAAAAAATATTTTGTTTCCGGGTCCCAGCTATCTTCTATCGACTGAATCCTTCTTTACTGCTCCAAACTTCCCTGCTTTTAACTTCCATTACTCTGATTTTTGCTTGCTAAATTACTCGCTTCCATTATTCAACATCCTGGTTCCGGATTCCAAGTTATTGTTTTCCGTTCTTAGCCTTCTGATCCTAGGTTCCAACATTCTGATTCTCCTTCCAACTTTTCATCGTCGCTCCCAACTCCCAAATCCCAGTTTCAACTTCATGGCTTCAGCTTCCAACTCTAATATCATTTACCTTACCTACCTTTGCATTATATAAAATAGAATCTTTATGAGTAGGTACGATAAACATAAAATATGTTCATAATCATAAAACATTTTCGTTGCCTAAACTACCCTCACGTTACTTGGCGTTGATGTTACAAAGTAGATACATTTCATTTCATTTTTGTACTGTCTATTTTGATGTAAAAAACTAACATTGGTGGGTGGCGATTGTCATTTATTTGTTTCACAGAATAACTAGTGTACTTTCTTTATTTTTCTGGTCTGATCTTAAGATTTAATATGTTCTAGTTGTTAAGCCATCACGTTGTGTGAGATCTATGTGTATACTTGAATCGTGCTGTATGTATCGAATCAGTTGTATAAAAATAAATATTATTATTATTATTATTTTCTCGTCATTTTCTGTTCTTAGATTCCAACTTTCTGATTACCACTCTTAATTCTCTGCTTTTAATTTTCATTCTCTCTTTCTTCGTACTTTCTGATCCTCTCTCCCATTTATTTATCTCCCGTTCTTAATTACCTGCTTCTCACTTCCGACTTCCCGTTTTTTCCTAGTGCTCTGCTACTTGTACCAGGGGTCAGCAACTTTTTCAGTCGAAATATTCAAAAATTACAATTGGCAAAATTTTAAAGTTATGGAGCCACAAAAATGTTTCATACCAACAATAATAGATAATAAATATAGTATTTGCATAAATAAAGTTTAGTGCCTAATCCTCGTTAATTGATTCAGTATGATATTTTATTATAAAATAAATATTATTTGTGTACGGAACTAAAGAGTCGCAGTTTCACATCCAAAGAGCTGCACATAGCTCACGAGTTACAGGTTGCCGACCCCTGACCTAATACCATTCTATAACATCAACATCATCATATCAGCTTTTAACTGTCCACTGCTGAACATAAGCCTCCCTTTGGGGGTTTTGCCAGTAGTTACCACGCTTGGCAGGCGGGTTGGCAACCGCAGTTAGGCTTTTAGAGATGTTTTAAGAGGGACGTTGCTACGTATCTCTCAACCTCCCTTAGTCGCCTCTTACGACACTCACGGAAAAGGAAGGGGTGGCCTATTCTATGCTGGGACCATACGTCAAAACTATGTTAACTACTTAATAGGAAAAACCTCAAAATAATGGACAATAATGGGTCATTGTCCATTAAACAAACATTTATATACAATAGGAGCCACAGACAGCCCTCTATGTCGAGGCTGTTTCGACGCCGAAGAAACGGCTGCTCACGTAATCCTGTAGCTTATCAACGTTTAGAAATCCTCGAAACGGTGAGGTCGCTCCGTGAGGCCTGTGAAGATTCCAGGAAGCTTCTGTGCTTCTGGACGAAGTTGGGTTGGCTGTACTAGCCACGACTCATACGCACAACGGCCCAAATGACAGGCTAAGCGCGGAAAATAGAGTCCTATTTACATTATATTACAGTTGCCACGCTTGGCAGCTGTAACATATAGAGTATAAATACCAGTTGTAATTGTATGGCAGGTGGTACGCAAACTCGGCGAGTTGTTTGCCTTACGCCACACCCTCAACGTGGAGTCGGATCTGCTGGACACGCCGGACTTCTACTGGGAGCAGGAGGAGCTGGAGCGCCTCTACTCCAGCACCGTCGCGTACTTCACCATACCGAGGAGGACCAGGGTTAGTTCAATAATAATAATTGTGTTCGCATGGTTGTGTTTCGGTTTGAAGGGTGGGATATGACGTGAATTTACAGGGTACAGAGGAACAACACCTGAGTCCTCAGGAATAGCAACGCATGAGGGTATCATGGGTGAAACAGTATACTCTGTTATGTCCATGGTACTGCTCATGTCTATAGGCGACGGTTACCACTTTCCATCAGGTGGGCCGTCAGCTTGTTTGCCATTCTAAGTTGTATAAGTCAATTCTCAAATGTTGGCAGTCACATGCACACGAGTGGTAGTGGAATTAAACAAAATAATCAACTAATCGGTGACAATAATGAGAAACGAGGATGTAGTCAAGTAATACATTCTCAATTGTCATTTCTCTCTGGTATCATCCGTTATAGTCCATGGGTTCAGAGGGGAAAGGACTACCAGTCTCATTCCTAGCAATATTACTACATATTACCCTATCAGGTCAACCATCATCTGCTGAAACGATCATGCTGAATTCCAGGTATATTCTTCACGATGGGCTAACTCTTTTTATTCTCACCTATCATCCCTCACTGGCGCCCTGCCTGTGTATACCGTTAGTGCAGGAGGGGTTACCATTCCATTATTATTCATTAAAAAACCCATGGGTCCAGGGGGAAAGGGATTGTTAGTAATGGAGACTAAGAATCCCATTGCTAGCAATACACCCAACCAGGTCGACCTCGCGGTTCCTCCTGGAAACTATCATGATTAATTCCAGATGAATTCATCATGATGGGCTAACTGGCCTGTTTGCATCCTCATCGATCATCATTCATTGGTGCTCCGCCAGTGTATCCCGTTAGCGCAGGCGGGGTTACCATTCCATTTTCATCCATAAAAAAAACCCATGGGTCCAATGTGTACCTCAGCCATCATTATGAATTAATAAAAAAATATTTCTATATGCTACCTGTGTTTTCGATCTAAATTGTAACTTCCGCCCAGGTTCTGAACGAGCGGCTGGCCCACTGTGTGGAACTGTTGGAGCTGCTGTCCTCGTGGGCGGCGGACAGGCACCACGTGCGGCTCGAGTGGATGGTGATCGCTCTCATCCTGGCTGAGGTCTGCTTCGAGCTGATGCACTTCTACGAGAGGTACGCCATCAGGCACGCTGATGTTCTCACCTAGTTGCTGGTGGGTGCGGCCTTCGGGGATGATGACTTGGAGTACGCTGTGTTTTGAGTTGGTTAAATAATCTTAGACACTTATTAATGTAATAAACTAGCGTAGTCCCGCGGATCTGCTTGAATAACGTTAACAGTAATAGTATCTCAGTAATATTTCAGTAACATATATATAAAAAAAAGATTATGTACTCTCAGATATGTCTTTGTACATAATTGAAAGCTTCGCTCTGTCCTGGAGTGGGCATAAGACAGTTCTGTGCTGGGTATGGCCCATCTGGCCCCACTGAAATACACTTATGCAAGTGAAGATGCAGTCGGAGTTATTCATGTTTTAACCAACTCAAAATCTGTTATGCCTGGTAATGGGAATTATATGTGATATATTAGTAATACATAATATAATTATGTTATATTGTTCCTGTAAAAGTGATTGTATTTTAAGTGTATGTAAAATTGTATAATGTATGTGTAGTGTAATTAATTTTGTAGTATATTTATTATATTGTATGTTTTTTTAATGGATGAAAATGGAATGGTAACAACATTTGTACTATCGGTTTTTGTCGGCGAGGTACTAGGCGAGCATGAAATCGAGTTAGTTGGTCCATCGTGACGAATTAACAAGGAGACTTTGTACAAAAGTCGATTGCTTGGGCACCTCTGTCCCATTCGTGTTTCTACCGTGAAGCAGTTGTGTTTGCATGGCTGTGTTTCGGTTTGAAGAGTGGGATATGGCGTGAATTTACAGGGTACAGAAGAATAATATCTAAGTCCTCAGGAATGGCAACGCATGGGGGGTATCATGGGCGAAACAGTATACTCTGTTATGTCCATGGTACTGCTCGTGTCTATAGGCGACGGTTACCACTTTCTATCAGGTGGGCCGTCAGCTTGTTTGCCATTCTAAGTTGTATAAAAAAAATTACCACGATGGTTTTTTTTTAATGGATGATAATGGAATGGTAACCCCTTCTACGCTATCGGTATACACAGGTGGGGCACCAGTGAGGGATGATTGGTGAAGATGATAAGGCAAGTCAGTTAGCCTATCGTGGCGAATTTAACGATAAATTAGTCACGATGGTTTCCAGTGGGAATCGCGTGGAGATCAACCTGATAAGGTATATTGATAGCAATGGGGACTAACTTCCCCATTACTAACAATCCCTTCCCCCCTACCACGAGGGTTTCCCAGGGGTTAAGAAGATCAACCTGATAGCAGTGTGAACTAACCTCCCCCAACAGTGTGGAAAGGGATTGTTAACAATGGAGTTTGACAGCTCCATTGCTAGCAATATGCCCTCCTATTAAGTTGACCTCCATGTGGTTCCCCCTGGAAACCATCGTGAACAATTCTTGTTGAATTCGTCACGATGGGCCAACTGACCTGCTTCATCCTCACCTATCATCCTTCACTGGTGCCCCGCCGGTGTGTACCGATAGCGCGGATTGGGTTACCATTCCATTATCACCCATTAAAAAAAAAACTTCTTCCAACAACTTGTTCTCCCCAGTGAGCAGTGATGGTTGAGGATGAAGCTGTTTGTAGATTTCATTGCATTTTAAAGCAGTTATTTTGTCAATTTATGCATTATGCTTCCTGTTAGACACAAGTGTGCCATATTTATTATATTTAATAGTAAATAAAAAAAAATATATATACTAATTGTGCATGGGGGAATTAGAATAACTAATATATTAAGATTAATACTTTATTATTATTATTATTTGTTAATTATATGTAAGACATTTGTAATATAATAAATTTTTGTAACACATATGACTCTATATGCCTATAATATAATTTTATTTTTTTATTTATTTTCTACTTCGTGTTGTGTTTTTAATTATTTGTGTAGTTTTACGAATAAAAATAAGCAGTAGTTAGATAGATAGATACGATAAACACTTTATTTGAGCCATTTATGACACATGTAAATTAATTTATGAGTCCTCAGTAATGGCAACGCATGGGGGGTATCATGGGCGAAACAGTGTACTCTGTTATGTTCATGCTACTGCTCATGTCTATAGGCGACGGTTACCACTTTCCATCAGGTGGGCCGTCAGCTTGTTTGCCATATAAAAAAAATTGTTGTATAAAAAAAATTATAGAATCAAATTAATTACACTTTCTTTTTTAATGTAAAACAAAAGATAAAGTATGGAAATATGTTTTCACCAAGTGTGTCGCAGTGACCCAAATAGGCTACAGCTCAGTGATAGTTTTGCTTAAAAGCAAAGCACTGATTTTCAGCTGCAACCTGAAGTTAGCAATACGTAGAATCTAATATCGAAATAATATGTTATTTCAACTATATATTTTTTAAGCTACGCCCTAAGTATATATTTTTATACTTTGTAAACATATGTATATAAACTTATTTAGTTGTGATTTAAATTTATTTATTAAATACAAAAATGTTTTGTTATGAAATAAATAAATAAATGTTTTCAAATATGTATATTTTATTGATCGAGGTATCTGAATGTGGTCGATTTTAGGATGTCATTTCTCTAAATCTATCTTTAAAAATTTAAATTTGATTTTATAACACAATAATTATTCTAAGGACCATATCGTCATAGTCGTAGAATACTGACGGATCTGACGAAGATAACATATAAAGATCCGTCAGTATTCTACGACTATGACGATATATAGATCCGTCAGTATTCTACGATTATGACGAAATAATTTATTAAATATGAGATATATTTTTAATGCATTCATATAAAAAAATATTATAATTTTTCACGTAACTATGTGTTAATGATGTGCGTTTGCGTTTTGATGATGAACGGATGATATGATGATGACGATGATGATGAATAAATACACCTAGTATTTGAAGCGGTTTAACTAGGGCAAATAAAAATAAATTATTTTGAAGCGTTAATGTACCTAATATAAATTTGATATACAGCGCTGAAGGTTGTTTTGCAAGTAAGGTTACAGTTTGAAACCTGAAAGGTCATGTAAATTTCTCCTGCGTTATGATTGGCGTTCTCGCGATGTCGTGATGAGCGACTCTTGTGGCTGGTTTTTTTTATGAGTGAAAATGGTATGGTAACCCCGCCTGCGCTAACGGGATACGCTGGCGGAGCACCAGTGAAGGGTGATAGATGAGAATGAAAACAGACCAGTTAGCCCATCATGATGAATTCATCAGGAATTAACCATGATAGTTTCCAGGGAGAACCGCGTGGAGGTCGACCTGGTTGGGTATATTGCTAGCAATGGGATTCTCAGTCTCCATTACTAACAATCTCTTTCCCCCTCTTGTGACTGGTTGATGTTGTGTGTGATCGTCTATTAATGACTTAGCAGTCGCTTTACCGCTGAAAACGCTTCATCATACGTAGCAGTGATGAATATTCATGACATATTGTTAATGCTTTAAGACTATGAAATTAAAGTTTTTTTTTAATGGATGATAATGGAATGGTAACCTCGCCTGTGCTATCGGTATACGCTGGCGGGGCACCAGTGAGGGATGATAGGTGAGAATGAAAAGACAGGTCAGTTAGCCCATCGTGGTGAATACACGTGGAATTCAGCACGATGATATTTCCAGGGGAGACCACGTGGAGGTCGACCTGATAGGGTATATTGCTAGCAATAAAACTGGCATTACTAACAATCCCTTCCCCCCATTTAAAGAATTAGATTAACAGATAGATTTAGAGAAATCGTACCTGAGAATCGATTCCGTTGTCCTGTCTAAATTCTATTTTTTTTTCTTTTTTTTTTTCCTAAAAACAGCTCTTTCTTGCATGGTTGTTTTTCGGTTTGAAAGGTGAGAGGTGACAGTAAAGTTACTGGTCATTCTCGACTTCAGATCTTCATGTCACAAGGGTTGTTAAGACAAGAGTGATCTGGTGTTGGAGGTGTTCATGGGCTGGGTAGTCACCATAAGGCGGGCCGTATAAATAAATACTCTTAAATATAATACACAGTTCCATTTGGTTCCAAACTACATAAACAAAGATTATACTGCGGATAAGCAATTGATAGACATAACTAAATACATATTATATGTCCCGTGTGGTCCCGGCATAGAATAGGCCACCCCTTCCTTTCCCATGGTGTCGACTACTAAAGGAGGACGAGGGATGGGCAGCAGCGTTCTTTTTTTTTATACAACTTAGAATGGCAAACAAGCTGACGGCCCACCTGATGTGAAGTGATTGCTTGGATACCTCTGTTCCATTCGTGTTTCAACCGTGAAACAGTTGTGTTTGCATGGCTGTGTTTCGGTTTGAAGGGTGGGATATGGCGTGAATTTACTGGGTACAGAGGAATAACATCTGAGTCCTTAGGAATGGCAATGCATGCGGGTATCATGGGCGTAACAGTATACTCTGTTATGTCCATGGCACCGCTCATGTCTATAGGCGACGGTTACCATTTTCCATCAGGTGGGCCGTCAGCTTGTTTGCCATTGTAAGTTGTATAAAAAAATGTAATTGGTAGATCGTACAGGGTTTCGTCAGTAAACAGTAGATCTTGGGTCTAGTCAAGTTGGCCACCCCTGCAGTATACCACCACGGTTGTCTTTAGTTTGTTTTTATGGGTGATAATGGAATGGTAACCCCACCCGCGCTATCGGTATACACCGGCGGGGCACCAGTGAAGGATGATAGGTGACGATGAAGGCAGGTCAGTTAGCCCATCGTGACGAATACAACAAGAATTGTTCACGATGGTTTCCAGGGGGAACTACGTGGAGGTCAACCTAATAGGACATATTGCTAGCAATGGGGCTGTCAAACTCCATTGCCAACAATCCCTTTCCCCCGGTTGTCTTTAGTTATATGCGATGCTTCAAAGTCATCCTTTTACAGAAAGAAAACCACTCATCCTTTCATTGTCTGATGCAGGAGTCATACTCGGGAACGCCCCAGAGGCTTCGACCGTCCTACCTTTACCAGCGAACTGGAAGAGAATCTATTCCAAGACTTATCAATAGTGGACACGTAGGGGAATATTAAGAGAACGTGTTTTAAGTGTTGCGTGTTCAAAATATTATCAAGGACTATCTTAGTGCATGAAGAGAGAATGGCAACCCCACGTGCTAATGGTTTAGTGAGGGATGAGTTTTTAATATACATGAATTTACTGGGTACGGAGGAATAACACCTGAGTCGTCAGGAATGGCAACGCATGGGGGGTATCATGGGCGAAACAGTATACTCTGTTATGTCCATGGTACTGCTCATGTCTGTAGGCGACGGTTATCACTTTCCATTAGGAGGGCCGTTAGCTCGTTTGCCCTCTAAGTTGTATACAAAAAAATGTGTAAATGGAATGGTAACCCCGCATGCGCTATCGGTATACACTGGCGGGGCACCAGTTGCAGATGATGGGTGAGGATGAAAGCAGATAAGTTGGCTCATAGTGATGAATTCTGCTAGAATCCATCACGGTGGTTTCCATGTAAAACCGCGTGGAGGTCGACATGATGGGATACGTTACATACTAGCCATGGGGCTAATAGACTTTATTAACCCTCTGACCCCGTATTGTTTCGCCTCATTTCCGCACTTTGCTTTGACAACAAATAGCAGTACGGGATGCACGCTCAGAGGGTTACAATCCTTGTGATGATAGGTGAGGATGAAGCCAGACCAGTTGGTTTAACGTGAAGAATTAACCATTATACATTCCAGGGAGGGAGGCCACGTAGAGGTCGATCTGATGTGGTATTTTTTTTTTAATGGAAGACAGTGAAATGGTTACCCTTCCTGTGCTATCAGCATACACTGATAGGGCACCAGTGAAGGGTGATAGGTGAGGATGAAGCAGGTCAGTTGGCCCATCGTGACGAATTCAACAAGAATTGTTCACGATGGTTTTCAGGGGGAACCACGGGGAGGTCGACCTAATAGGTCGTATTGCTAGCAATGGGGTTGTCAAACTCCATTGCTAGCAATCCCTCCCCTTCTATCGACGATCTTCATGGCGCAGTGGCTGTGCTTTGTATATCTGAGGTCCCGTGTTCGAATCTCTGTCCCGCCATTTTGTTATATGATATTTTCTATATTTGCCCATTCATGACTGGTTCTTAATGGGTGATAATGGAATGGTATACGCTGGCGGGGCACCAGTGAGGGGTGATAGGTGACGGTGAAAGCAGGTCAGTTAGCCCATCGTGACGAATTCAACAGGAATTATTCACGATGGTTTCCAGTAGGAACCACGTGGAGGTCGACCTGATAAGGCATATTGCTAGCAATGGGGCTGTCAAACTCTATTGCTAACAATCCCTTTCCCCCCGCTCATGGTTAGGTAAGGTATATATGAAGTGTCGGTAGGTTTAGTGTTAAAATGATTGGTTTTAATGTAATAAATACCGGTTTAATTTATCTCTGACGGTCCCACTAGTGTCTACAGCTTGCGCTCAGCGAGCCGAGGCGCGCATTCAGCTTCGCGCCGCGTCACAGCCGCTCATGATTAAGGATCACGAATTGATCCTGAAACTAGTCTAGCTTTCTCTAGCTAATTATACTAATAATAGGATCTTCATCGTGCCTCTAATCAAACTGTTCATAATTACTCCTCACCATCCAAAGGTTGCCTGCAAGAGATCGCTCTCAGCGATAAAGTCGCCCATTGTTCTCTCATTGTGATTATTTCTTGTAATTGTTTATATCTATAATAAGTTTACTATTGTAATCTTTTGGAGGAAACAATAAAGAGTATCTATCTATCTATCTGTCTATACGTAAGCTAAACCGGCAGTTATTATATTAAAATATAATATGTCCTTTGTAAAACCAAATGTTTGCTAAACTCTTAACAATAAAATTGATTTGTGTATATAGAATAAAAATAAATAATTAATAATGTTGTAATAAAAAAAAAAATAGAATCATGTACAATACTTTTATTTGTCCCGTGTCGGTCCCAACATAGATTAGGCCGCCCCTTTATTTCCCATGGGTGTCGTAAGAGGCGATTAAGGCAGGGCGAGGGATGGGCAGCAGCGTCCCTCTTAAAACGTATCCAAAAACCAACCAACCAACCAACCAAAAGCTTGGTAAGTACTGGTAAAATCCCCCAAGAAGGAGACTCATGACCAGCAGTGGACAGTTAATGGCTGACATAACATTGATGATATACTCGTCACATCGAAATACAGCCATGACAAGGCAACAGCTTCATGACAGTAATACGAATGGGCTAGACATACCCACTCAAAGAAGCAACAGCTGAGTTCTTGCCCGTTCTTTTTAGCTGAAATTGCGTTCTGAATGGGTGGCAATGAAAAAAAAAAATGACTATTCAAAAATTACTATACAAAAATTACTATTCAAAACTGACTATTCCAAAATGACTATTCAAAAATTACTTCAAAAATGACTATTCAAAATGACTATCCAAAAATGACTAATCAAAATGACTATCCAAAAATGACTAATCAAAATGACTATTCAAAAATGATTATTCAAAAATGACTTCAAAATGACTATTCAAAATGTCTATTCAAAATGACTATTCAAAAATAACTATTCAAAATGACTATTCAAAAATGATTATTCAAAAATGACTTCAAAATGACTATTCAAAATGACTATTCAAAAATGACTATTCCAAAATGACTATTCAAAAATTACTTCAAAAATGACTATTCAAAAATGATCATTCAAAAATGACTTCAAAATGACTATTCAAAATGACTATTCAAAAATGACTATTCCAAAATGACTATTCAAAAATTACTTCAAAAATGACTATTCAAAAATGATTATTCAAAAATGACTTCAAAATGACTATTCAAAAATGACTATTCAAAATGACTATTCCAAAATGACTATTCAAAATGACTATTCAAAATGACTATCCAAAAATGACTATTCAAAATGACTATTCAAAAATGATTATTCAAAAATTACTTCAAAATGACAATTCAAAAATTACTATGAAAAAGTGACTTCGAAATTACTATTCAAAAATGACTATTCAAAAATTACTTCAAAAATGACTATTCAGAAATTACTTCAAAAATGACTATTCAAAATGACTATTTAAAATGACTATTCAAAATGACTATTCAAAAATTACTGTGAGAAAGTGACTTCGAATTGACTATTCAAAAATGACTATTCAAAAATTACTCCAAAAATGACTATTCAAAAATTACTTCAAAAATGACTATTCAAAATGATTATTCAAAAATGACTATTCAAAATGACTATTCAAAATGACTATTCAAAAATGACTATGAAAAAATGACTTCGAAATGACTATTCAAAAATTACTTCACAAATGACTATTCAAAAATGACTATTCAAAAATTACTTCAAAAATGACTATTCAAAAATTACTTCAAATATGACTATTCAAAAATGCCTAAATCTAAGTTTGCTTGAATTAAAATAATTCTTATCATGAAGATTTATTTGTACATACCTTACTGATGCTTGTATAATGAAATTGTGACTAGACGACGGGATCTACATGGAAGATATTTAAGAAAACATAATAATACAAGGTTTTTTAATAATGATTACCATTATGAAAAATCGATATTTTTAGTTTGTCTATTAGTTTGCATGTTTGTTCCGGTAGCACGCAAAAATTACTGCATCAAATTCGATGCGGTTTTCACCGTTGTATTTCTAAAGGTCCAATTTAAAATCTGGTGTATGCTTCATGTCCATAGGCCATCTAGAAGTAATCTATTTCCTTGGCTTTCCAACAAAGTAGCATCCAAAAGTAATTTTTTTTTATTTCTTTCTATTGATGATAATGGAATGGTAACCCCACCTGCGCTAACGGGATACGCTGGCGGAGCACCAGTGAAGGGTGATAGATGAGAATGAAAACAGGCCAGTTAGCCCATCATGATGAATTCATCAGGAAATAAACATGATAGTTTCCAGAGGTAACCATGTGGAGGTCGACCTCGTTATGTATATTGCTAGTAACGGGATTTTAGTCTCCATCACTAACAATCTTTTTCCCCCCAAAAAGCCAATTAATTGTTTAATAACAAAATAGGACATGTTTTGAAAAAAAAAAAACAATGACAATACCCTCACACGTTCCCGATACAATAACAAAAGAATAAAAGCTACATAAAGGTGCTTGTACGTCGGTGAGTTCTCGTGAACACGACTCGTCCGTCGTGAGGTAACGCCATGCCGCCGGAAATGTTGCCTCCGATGTAGGGTTGCCAACTGTACTGTTACAGACAGATTTTTTTTTATTGGATAAAAATAGAATGGTAACCCCGCATGCGCTATCGGTATACGCTGACGGGGCACCAGTGAGGGATGATAGGTGAGAATTTATAGATAGGCATGTATTTTAAAAAAAAAAATACTGTAAATTAATAAGTTGTGTAATAAGTTTTAAAAATATGTATTTAAAACATTAAATACATAAATTACTGTTAATTTTTCTAAAACACTGTTTAATATTCTTCTCAGACCTAAATATAGTTTATTACCTCCACGTGGTCCCCTCCGAAAACTATCATGCTGAATTCCAAGTGTATTCATTACGATAGGCTTACTGACCTCCCCTTTCATTCTCACTTATCATCACTCAGTGGTGCCCCGCCAGCGTATATCGTAAGCGCAGGCGGGGTTACCATTAAAAAAATATATAGTTTATTTATTGTAAAAAAAGTTGGCAACCCTTCTCCGATGTCCTATATAGGTAGGTACTGAATAGGCACACTTGTATTGAATACGTTAAGGGACTGAAAAAAAAAAAAACAAACTAGGTACTAGTTTGTTTTTTTTTTTGAGCAAATAGAGTAGCAAGTTTGTCTGTGGTATTGTATCGGTATACGCTGACGGGGCACCAGTGAGGGATGATAGGTGAGGATAAAACTAGGGGGTCCACCGTGAAATGTTTTTCGAAATTTCGCGGCCAAATATTACACAAATTTGATGTTAAATTTACATAATCTAATATATGAAATTCTCGTGTCGCGGTGTTTGTTACCAAACTCCTCCGAAACGGCTTTACCGATTTTTATGAAATTTTGTGTGCATATCGGGTAGATCTGAGAATCGGCCAACATCTATTTTTCATATCCCTCAATGATAAGGGTGACCTACTCTTAAATATATATTTCTTTTATTTTTTTGACAATTTTTTTTATATTATTACGATTTAGCATTGAAAAATACATACAAATTCAAATTTTCACGCTTTTACGATCAACCCCTGTTGTTTAATCGCGATTTTTATGTACCGCAATAGGGTTGCAAGATGGCAATCGAATATAATAATTGTAGTACGATAAATTTTCATGTATAGTTCTAGAAATAACGTATATGGTAAAACAACGTTTGCCGAGTCAGCTAGTATATAATATAATTGTTCCCGTTTTCTATAGTTATTGTATATAATATTGAAACTAGTAGCATATAAGCTAACGCTGTGCGTAGCAACTAACGGTGTACCATTTTATAACAATTACTTAGTTATAAAGCTTATTATAGTCAATGTAACGTGAATTGTAATACTGTTGCTGTGCCTAAATGAATAAATAAATAAATAAATATCGTTTAGAAATATTTAAAACAATAAAATAGCGTTCATTTTTACTTTTATGGCAGGATTTATGATGAACAAAATGTTAATCTCCATTTATTGGACCGATTTCGGTGTTTTTTTTTTTATATACAACTTAGAATGGCAAACAAGCTGACGGCTCTCCTGATGGAAAGTGGTAACCGTCGCCTATAGACATGAGCAGTACCATGGACATAATAGAGAAAACTGTTTCGCCCATGATACCCCCATGTGTTGCCATTCCTGAGGACTCCACGTGGAGGTCGACCTGACAGGGTATATAGCTAGCAATATACTAATTATCCCTTTCCCCATTATAGGCCTGTTAAATTTCATTACAAAGCTAAAAAAAACAACCGAATTGACAAGAACCTTCTTTTTGGAATCGCTTTAAAAATCAAAAGCAGGTCAAAACTGTTTAATAATTACCATAACTTACAGGGAAAAAAATTGGTGAATGGGATAGTTAATAATATTGTTAGCAGTCACATTGCTAGCAATCTGTCAGGTCGACCTCCACGCCGTCCACCCTGAAAACCAACATGATTGACAAGTGAACTCATCACGATGAGACAACTCTTAAGTTCCCTCCATGCGGTTCTCCCTAAAAACCATCGTGATTTATGTGTTATTCAGTCCATCACAATGAGCTGACCTAGGAATCTACCATGAAATGAAACTTAATTTCGCGTTATCGTTTATACCTTTGTCCCATTCGTGTTTCAACCGTGAAGCAATTGGAACCAGTTTGAAGGGTGGGATATGGCAGTGAATTTACTGGGTACAGAGGAATAACACCTGAGTCCTCAGGAATGGCAACGCTTGGGGTGTATCATGGGCGAAACAATATACTCTGTTATGTCCACGGTACTACTCATGTCTATAGGCGACGGTTACCACTTTCTATCAGGTGGACCGTCAGTTTTTTTTGTTTGTTTACCTACCACAAACCACAATTTTGAATGTTTTACTCCACGTCGTTTCGTTTAATCAATCGTGTGGGCCGAGAGCCCCAAATTAAATATTTAACCCTTCATAGCAGTTACAATGTCCCACTAGGGGTCAATTTGTACCTGTAACGTGTTATGGTTAAATTAATTTATTCTAAATGAGAACGTGGTTATAAGCACAACCCGTATAACATAATTGGGGTGTTGTCAGTCGACTTCAAAAAAGGATGTTATTAAACGCTCTGTCGTTTATGCGACCCAAAACTATATAAGAAAATTAACTTATATATAAATCTAAAATTTCAATTCGATTATGCTTTGTCAGTAAGTAACCTCCTATTTTTTTAAAACTAGTGGTTGCCCAGTGGTCGAGATTCGACCATAATTTATTTAAATTATA